GAATTATTGGTATTTCTCTTTACTTTCTGTGCCTCCTTCTGCACCCTCCAGCTTCAGGCTTTTTAGTCGCCAATATCAACGCCGATAAATGATGTCAAGTCCTTTCTATTTATCCACCACATTAGCAAATATATGCAAAATATGGCAACACAATGGGATATTTTTGGGATGTTGCTAAGTGGCTAACGAGCCAGCCGGTCATTTCAGTGGACCTGAAATACTTTATTTATTTTTCATTAATTAAAGTCTATTGTAAATTGTGGGTAAAACAAAATTTTTGAAATTCTATTTGGTTGTGGATTCTAGTCTTCATTTGTTTTTGCTTTTGTATTTATTTTTTGGGGTTAATATGACATTTTAATTATGGCGTCTGCATGCAACAGCAAGTTATCGTCTTTAATGAGATCTCGTTTCGGTATCAGGCTGCTGATCTTTATCTGGTTAAAGCCATATTCTCGAATATTTTCATCAGTCGTGTTCGGCGTTTGGCGTAACTAATTGCCAATGTTGTTGGTTTCTTGTTTATTTTGTTCGCAGCTGTACGCACCTCCCTCCCTCGCCTGGTTTCTACGTCGCCGCATATTTGCCACTTAATTATTTGTTTAATGTTCGTAATTTTTTGTTAAGCAGCAAATAAGAAAAAAAAAACAACAACTCATTGTTGTTTATCTTATTATTTACTATTCATGTCAACCAACCGAACAAACAAATAAACAATCCTAAGAAGAAACGAGTCAAAAAATAATTGTTAAAAAAACAGCAACATGTTTCATTTTAAACCATCAAAACATTGAATGGCAGACTTTTTAACTGAGCCGTAAAAAAATATTTGCTTGACACTTTAAAAATAAAAATAATAATTCGACACTCACTGATGATCATCAGGCCGGTTTTGCATTTTTGTAAATGTTTTTTTTTTTTTTTTGTGTATTATTTTTATTTTAATTTGTTTAAGTTGAAACGGGGCTTAACTTCTGCGTAATAAATTATATTTGTTGTTGTTGTATCTAAAGTTCTTGAATTTTGAGACAGGTTTATCCATTAGCACACAGGTTTTAATTTTCTTTAAGTTGTTTAAGGCTTACGAAATGTCAGCAAGCGTGTTAACGAGACCGCTTCTTCTTTTTCAGGTATTCTACTTGGTTATAAACGAATATTTCTACTTGGATTTTTTACTAATATTTGTATTTATAATTTTTTAATACATATTTTTTAATTTATATTTAACAGTTTCTAAATACATTTGAAATTCAGTTGAATTACGTTAAGAACGATAGAATTATAAATTTAACACAAATTACAAATTTATAAAAATAATTCGAAATTAAAAATAAAAATTCGTAACTCTAAAATTTTTTATTTTAAAGAGTTGAAACATTACGTTTATGGCCTCATATCCTTTCGACAAAAACAAACCTCTTACACAAATCATTTGAAAATTTGTATTTTCACTGTAAGAACTGTAAGAATAGATATGTATATTGTAGACAAGCTCTACAAACACACATCGCATATTGCCTGCAAGATCGGCATAAATAATAAATCGATTTTGCAGAAAATGCGTTTTATGTTTATAATTGACCCACATCTTACAAGGAAAAGAGGAACTTCTAAATCGGAGTGTGTAAGAGATACTCATCTGTCAATGTTGTGTAAAAACCCAACATTGCATCTCTAATACAAAATCCGCGATTTCTGATTTATGGCCGTCTTGCTGCAAATGAGCGATATTTGTAACACACAAGGAAGAATTTCACTGGGAGGTTGTCCTTTCTTCGGCAATACCTGTTGGATTATGGTTCCTTTTGCTCGTTGATGTTCCATTGGAATACTCCCAAGGACTATTTGTGCTGTGGTTGGGTAACTCCGACCTACATTCGAAACAATCAGGTATGGCTGATCTGGTTAGTGTGAATGCAGCCGTTTTTGTTTGCTCTAATTCGCTTGGATGGGTTTATGGTATTGCCACCAGCTGGCTTGTTGCTGGAATAACCATGGTGACCTTTGCTCTCAATTGTAGACATTTTCATCTTCTTTGCACATCTTTTCGCTTTATTGAATAAAAGATTTGCATTTTTATAGCGGTCGTGTCTTCCAAAAGTTTGTCCGATATTATCTTGGTTCTATATACCCGTAAGGCGACCAGGTTTTGAAAATGAAATAACACGATGAAAAGACAAATGTATATTTTTAATAAAAATAATAGCAGGTGTATAAAACCTGCATTTTGATTTACTTAAAAATATATAAAATGGGTACAAAATTCGTAATTACGATCGTGCCAAACTTTGGTACCTCCCCCACAACATGCTCAAAATTGTGCAAAAAAATAATTTTATAATATCATGCGAACGGACTATACGAATTGAACCAAAGGGTCAATATTTGATAAACTTGTTATTGATCAACATTAAACCCGATACCTCTTTGATAACAACAGAATAATAAAACCGGTGTGTAATTTCGAAGACCTCCGCAAACCACAGGTTAAGGGTAAATATGTGTCGGAACACCGTATGACCCTTTTTTATAACTTTTTGACTGACTTCAATATAATAGGTTGGGGAAAATCCATTATTTTTATATGAACTATAGGACTTTATTTAACATGCTTCGGAATGTCCGATTTGGGACATATATATACCGTTTTGTTGTATGATCTGTTGCCATTTTAAAGTAGTCGATTTTCACAATCCTCCCTAGATACCAATTTTTTATCATTAAAGAAATTTTGCAATGCAAGAAAAATATGATAAACGCTAATGCATTCGACATATCGTCCGCCAAGTCCGGACGGTATGGTGGATGCTTCCGAAGTTTCTGGCGAGTCACAGTAGATGTGTGTGGCCTAGCGTTGTCCGGGTGGAACACGACACCTCTCCTGTTGGCCAATTCTGGTCTTCTAGAGATCAGAATTTAGCGTTTGGCCACATGGAAGCAACTCATATTAAATAATCCCCTTCCAGTCCCACCAAATGCATAGCAGAACCTTCCTGGCCGTTAGTTCTGGTTTGGCCACCGTTTGAGGTGTTTCACCGCTCTTTGACCACGATCGTTTTCGCACAGGGTTATCGTATGTGATCCATTTCTCATCTTCAGTCAACATCCGTTTAAGAAATGGGTCTATCTCATTCCGTTTGGCTAAGGCTTCGCAGATGGAAATTCGATCCATTCATTTTTTCTGTAATTGGAGCTTCTTTTTGAATCCAGCTTTGTGTAAATGGTTTATGGGCGATGTTACGACTGCTAACATGCCAACTTCGATTATTTCTCCGATTTTATCGACATTTTAACAATGGATTTATTTTTCCTCAACCTGATATATTATAGGGAAAATTTGATTTTTTTGAATTTCTCTAAATGATTTGTATCATCTTCTCCTCCTACTAATAAATCTACCCTCTGAGTCATCTCCCATCCTTTCATGGCAATCAAATCGTAATTGCATCTTCGGAGAAAGATATTGCGCTTTACATGCCATAACAGAAACACCTACACCTTAACTTTCGATAATTTCACAATTCTATTCAATTCTAGAAATGCCCACGCATTTCACTTGGCTTAGAAATTAGAGACACCTGTTTGCAGCATGGCTTCCGAATTTGGAGAAGCGCAAATATTCCTATTTGTCAATACGGCTGTGGATTGTGTCATTATTCTTGGCAGTAAATAAATTCAAAATGAGATTTTTGTGATGTTAACTGTCAAGTGTGAGAAATTATGATCTTTTTCAGTTTAGATCCATAATAGAACAAATGTTCGACTGCCTAATTTATTGTTGCTATTTACCGAATGGTGGAAGAGAAGGGGCAGTGCGGACTTAAATGAATTTGCATATCACAAAAAAAAGGAAACAACGTAATTAAGTTGTTATTTGCCATTGGACTGATAAATAACCGATCGTGTCCAAAAATAAAAAAAATAACAACAATGTATTTATTGTTGTTATTCTGGGTTCAATTAATATCAAAATGTGTGTGTGTGTTCAATAATTTATTATTGTTTTGGCGGTTGTTTCTGTGACCACAAAACGGCTATTGTGTGTGGCCAGCCAGATTTGTGCTGCCGATGGTGGTAAGTAAATTTCGTGACTGTTGTGGCTTTAAAATAAATTGCAACAGTTAAATAAGACTTCTAACACCAAGATATTGGCCATAATCTGCTTAAAATGTTAATTGTTATGTTTGAATGTCAGACGAAACCCAATCTTTAAATTTGTTCTGCTAACATTGTTGCAATAACAAGCTACAAAAATGATTGGCTTTAAATAATAGTGGTTTGTGCTGTGCTCTGAATAACCTTTCGTATATTGAAAATGTTCTATGCTATGCTGCAGCAATGAATGGAGTACGTTGGAACGACTCTTAAAAGGTTAATTCAGATTGGCTCATTTGAAAGATAATGGATTGATCCAATTTGTTTTTACCAGAGATGGTCCGTGCGACGAATTTTTCGGTTTTCGACTGTCAAAAAGTTGTAAACGTCGAAAACGTCATATACCTGTATAAAATGTAATAAATGTTGTAAACGTCATTTATTTCAATATTATCACCATATACAGATATTTTCAAGAATATATATTATTTGTACGTACATCTGACTATTCCTTACTAGAGCTGATACAAATTTCTAAACTTTTTGAGAAGAAAATTTTGAAATTTTAAATGGATTTGAGTAAAACATGTGTAATTTCCGAATTGATTAATGGGAATAGCTATATTGTAAAAAACCTAATGGTTTAGGTGGGAAATGTATGTCATTTACGTCACTGTTTCTGACGGACCATCTCTGGTTTTTACAAGCCCTGTGTTTTTATATACATGTGTTGTTTTTTCTTTTATTTTTGTGTATTATTTTTATTATATTTTTTATATTATTTTTATTACACTTTTGTATATATATATATATATATATATTATTTTGCATGATTTTTTTTTGTTATGCCTTTTTGCTTATTCTTTGCATTTTTTGCGTTCTTTTTCTTTTGCTTTCCTTTACAGATACAAGCAGCATGAGTCGTGAAAGCGATGACAATTTGAGTTCGATCAATTCACAATATACAGGTAATTATTTGTTTTTATTTTTATGTTGTTATTGTTATTTCCAATTTAATTTTCAATTGTTAGTTTTCTTTATTTTTTGGGTTTTTGGTTTTATAATTTAATGCGATTTTAATTTTAAGCGGTGAATGAATGCGAGTCGTCGTCGCATTTCTTAACTCTTTTCTTTATCATTTATTGCCATCACTTTGGACGTAACCACCACACCATTTCAGCAAATGACCTACATCATCATAAATCATTGCCTGCGTTTTCATTTAATTTCATTTGATGACATTATTTTTTACCAAAGACCAAAAATTGTGTTGTTATGTTTTGAGATCTTAATTTTTGGTTGCAGATAAATGAAGCTAATTACAAAGAGCAGATATTCAGTTTCGGCGCTTTTTTTTAATTTTATAATAGCTACGCACTTTTATTTGTCGTAAGTGAATTGTAAAAAAAAAAAATATAATTGACATGTGACTTTGTGTGTGGGTGTTCCACTTTTACTTCAATCTCAAAGTGAATGAAGTGATTTATCACAAGAGGTGACACTTAAACTCAATGACTTGTTCAAAAAAATTTTTTGATAAACTGAAGCAACTATAATTTTGTTTATTTTTTAAGTTTTACATATTTAATTTCCATAGGTTGCTTTAATTTTCTTCAAGTCGACCTTTCTCTCATTGATATTTTCAGAAATATGATTCCAATTTGTTCAATACGTCACTATTGTGATGTCTGTAATAATCATACCATTGCAAATCAACATATTTCCAGTTCGAAGTGAATGTTTTATAAAATGATGGGCAAATATCGTCTCCTTAAAGTTAAAAAATAAATAATCAATATTTTGTGCAGCATTATATCATTTACCTGTAAAAATGTAATAAAAAATAGAAATCGTCATGGATTTCAATAATTTCACCATATAGAAGATCTATTTTAAAGAATACGATTGTTTATCATAAAAAATTATTAAGGTCTGATTAAAAAAATGAATCATGAGTTTATTATTTTGGAACATCGCAAAGAAAGCTAGAATGGTATGCGATTTCCAGTGTTCAATGCAGATGTTTGGGATCTGCTTGAACTCTTCCAAAGAGTTTCCACTTCTCTCAGTGAAGTGGCGAACGCGCGAGTGAGCTGGAACATACAATTCATGTCAGCTCTTCAGCCGCCTCTTTCCCTTATCATAATTTTAACATTTTTGAAGGCTACTGTCAAGTGATCATAATTGCTCATGAAATCCTCTGCAAATAAGTACTCGATTTTTGGCGTTATAGTAGTCTGTGTTCCATTATCCATGACAACACAAAGAACGCGATCCAGAACATAATGCTGGCAACTGACCAACTTGGGTGCCGGGTATCCTTTCCCTGTGAAGATTTGCTGCAGTCGGTATTTTTGCCGGTATTCTCCATAGATTCGATTTATGTAACATATTCTGGAAACATATGCGACGTTTGAGGTCCCTCGTCTTTCATTTTCTTTAGATTTATTCTTGAGGACCAAATTCTGATATTCAAAGTTTTATATTTTGCCACGCTTTCTCTTATTAATGTGGCTTACAACTGGACTAGGTTGTTTGTCCAGGTTTCCTTGTTATTCTATACGTTAGAAAAAATCACACCCAATGGACTTAGTGGCTATATGTCGTACACGTACACGCTTTATCGAATTTTCAAAAAGCATACCTAACAGGTACCTTACGGAAATGACACATCGGTAACAATTGAAATTTGAATGGAAAGGGGTAGCTACCATAACAGAATCCAAAAGGAGAAATCTACATAAATGTATCTGAATTTGTTGACGTTTATGGCAATTGGGAGTAAATGTAGCACGGATCTTGAATACAGCTTTCTTAAGGCCAACAAACCCCAATGTAATAACAGAATTAGAACAATTTTAAAATGTTTGCATGAAATCATAGATTGAATGACCCAATTATTAAAAATATTACTAATCATCAGACACAAATAAACGGGATTTGATTATGGACATTCTATTTTTATATACTACTATGTTGTGGGGTTATTAAAGCTTTGTGTGGTCCCATAAGTTTTGTAACGCCGCGAAATTTTGATCCTAGATCCACATTTTAATATACCGATAGTGATATCTCGATTAGCTGAGTCTATCTAGCCATGTATATCCATCCGTCTGTCCATTATAATTTGTAAACACGCCACAGGCCACAGTTATGGACCAATCGTCATTAAATTTTGCAAAGAAGACCCCTGTTATTTCTTAATATTTTTTGTATATTTTTCTGGTCGCTTTAGAGACTAAAATTATGAACCGAACACAACTGACTAGAGAACAAATATGTCTGTTTTCATGATACTCGGTCAATATTAAGTTGTTCAAATAGGCCCAGATTTATGTATGAAAAATGAAAATAGAAGAAAAAATAGACCGGAGAAGTTGATAAAATATCCCAGAGGAGTGGTTGACATTCAAATTGATGCTAATTATAGTGATGTATCTACTCGGAGTTATACTTAAATATTTACAGGTGTCTGATATTATATAGTCACACTATAGGGCGGAAATATAGCGCTTATCGCTATTGAATTTTCCCGAAAAATTATGACATTACCACGCATTACAATAGTCATAACTTATTGCTTCTTCATAAACCGACTTTCCCTTTCTATGCCAAAAAAAATGTCCAAATTAAACTTCTCCCTTTCCGAAGTACATACGAGTATGATTGTTATTAATTCATGTCTTGAACTCGAACCAATTAGTCTCTCTCTATTTCGGATGTGCGTGCACGCAAATGTCTGTGAAGTGTCGTCGCGCCTATCATTTATTTCCCATGATCTGTTAAGCGTAAAAAAGATTGCGTGAGTGACACTTGTCACCACAAATCGTAATCGTTTATTTTTATATTTTTTGTTTTTATTGCTTTTCGCAAAATACAGAAGCAAATTTCGTTTATAGACATATTACACATGTTTCTGTCCCAATCTCATTGAGATATTCGTTAAGGTAATGCCAGGTAATTTATTGTCATTAAATATTTCCTCTATGGTTGCCATATTTATCATATTATTTTATATAATTGTTTTCCGTTCTTTCATTCATTGAATATATAATTTCATTCATAACAAAAACAAAAAGCGAATGGAATGGGTAAACCGTTTGACTTTCAGAAGCTAGAATCCAAAAATAGAAATTGTAAATTGATTTGCAAGTCACCGAATATCATTAGCTATTCAAATCAGATATTACCCGATGACATAGAAAGGAGGTTAAGAACAGAAACCTTTACATTGTATAGTGGTATACATATATTGTATAAAATCAAATAATTAAGGCCCGGACGAAATGGCCGAAGCACGAAAGTGTCATATGTGAATCAGAATTGGCGTATGTGGGTATGTAGGTGGGTTTGGTGAAATACGTACTACAAGGGTACTAAATGTACTAAAATCTGATCATTTGTACTGAAGATTTCTGATGGAGCATAGCTAGGAGTTACTAAGATGTCTTTGGAAACTCACACTAAAATTGTACGAAATGCAATACACCAAATATTATTGGTATTGGGTGAACAAATAAATCCTATAATCTAGTGTAAATGGTACTAAAATTAGTACAAATAGTGAAGTAATTGGTGAACGGACGGAACTGGAATTATAAACTTTGTTGGGGAATCGATATTTTGTAAAGGGGATCCCAATTAATATAAGGCTTTGGTTGGTTAATATATAAGTTTTACATAAATGGTACTAAATATAGTACAGTTACTATTTGGTGAATATTTGTGTTTATAGCTGATATAAGAATGTGGGGTTTGTAATTCAAACGATATAGATATAAATAGAAAATAACTTTTTAGTACATTTACATTAGTACCTTTTTATTTAATGCAGTTGGATATGGTTAAACGAATAGAGACATGATTAGACAAATTTGATACTACGAGAGTACGAAATGGAAATAACTTCGGTACAATTCGTACTTGATAAACGAGTAAAGTTTGAGACTTGACATTTCGTATTGAGATTTTTTTTGAAATTCGTATTACAAATGAAAAAATTACATTTTATTTATTTGCAAAAGAAACCTTCATTACGTTGTTGCCGCTTTCTTTTAATTGAACATTAGTGAACGTTTTCAGTTATTGATTAATTATTATTTCAATATTTTTAGTTCAAGTTTACTTTATTAGTCACGTACACACAATTTTATATGGTACCATTAATGTAGATAACACTAACGTAAACAAACAGATACTCATTAGCAAACGATTTTGTTCTACGGATATTCTTTTAAATCCACAATCAAATATTTCCCACGAATTGTTGATTGATTTTGAAATACAGAAATCATTAGAGAATTTGTTGGAACCAAATCAAATGGGATTATAATTTTTTGTTTTTTTTCATTCATTCAATACAATTCAATTTTTTTACTTGTCCTATTGCAGTTTTGCAAACAACTTAGAAAAAGTTTATTGACTAATGATTTAATTAAATTTGTATATGACAAAAATCGAAAATGTTATAACGTCTATAAAATTCAATTTCGAAGAATTGAATCCATAGAATTGAATTTTCCGAAAAATTCCCTAAAGTAGTCCAAAATAACCTGACCAAACGTTGCGAAAAATAATTACCTAATATTACTTTTATTAATAAAATGATTAAACTTGTTATCAACTCAAAACTAAATTATTTTACAAAAATCTGAAGTCCTCGTTTTTTATAGTTTCGAAATCGAAAAAATGTGTCCGAAAAATTCGACATCGATTTTTTTTTTATCGATTTCGATATTTTAATTTATTGGCATGTGGAATTGAGTAAACACAAAATGCCAACCCTTTATTCCTAATTACAGCAAGCATATTTTAAAAACTACAATTATAACTAAATAACTTTCGCCACAATTATAATTGCCTTTAATACAAATTTAGTTATTATATAAAATAAGTGAATCATGTTCCCTGTAATTTGAAACCCTACATCGCACAATAGCGGTTGACAGTTTTACAATTTCCAATAGAA